AGGCTCATCCCGAGTTTACGTGGCTTTGGGTATGAAGACCGGTGCGAGAAACTAGGGCTCTACACTTTATCCTACCGTCGGGTGCGAGTCGACCTCATTATGACCTACCGAATTCTACATCTTGGTGAGTTCCCTATGCTAAGGCCAATGCTGCACTTACGAGGACCATGCAGCACACGCGGACACAGATACAAACTTGTCGTGCCGGATATGAAATGTGTTCCCCACCCACTGTGCTTCGAAAGGAGAGTGGTAAACATTTGGAACAGTTTGCCCGAACATGTGATTGAGGCAACATCTGTGCAGCAGTTCAAAACGTTGTTAGATTTGTATTTTGCCTCTATTCGCTTCAGAGAACGACTGCACACTTACGATGACATATCACATTTGTGAATCCTGAAATATCGTAAGTCGAGTATTTTAAATATTACATGAGAACGATAATGATATTCACGGTTGACAATTTTATAACGTTTTTCGCCATATTTCGAAAGAGTTGTACAGAATTCATTTCTACTTGCTCTATAATACAGTATTCAGTATTCATACCACCCAAGTAATTAATGCCCAAAACAGTGCCAACCAGTGATAACTCCACTGCGGTTAATCATGGCTGCGGGTGTATAATTTCGGACTTTCTGGACACACAAAAGCACAGGTATCAGTGGCTTTGTTTACAAGAACCAAACAGCTTCTGCTATCAAGTGCTGTACTAAAGATACCGTCTCGATTAGCAACAAGACCTCTGCATTCGGATTGCCCGGACGTCGAACGGATCAGCACTGCAGCACCTGATATTCAAACTACCCGTTTTTCAATGTCTTGTATTCACGACCCTTCGTAAGGAATATAAAATAAGATAAAAATGTTAATTCTCTTTGTTACACGGGGCACACATAAGAAGGAATGATCAGTTATGTACATTCAAATTTGCGACCATTATGGTTTGATAAAATAGACTTGACTAAGTAAGTGAGTAGATTCATAAGTTCCAAGACGTAAAATGTGGTTGGGATGGCTACTCGACATCTCAACTTGTTTCCGTGTTAAAATAGCGAATCGTTTTACGAATGCGGTGGTGGCGATAGGCACGAATGATGGTATAGATTTTTATCGCGTGAATGTTATTTTGGTGACTAAAATTGTGTTTCAGCCATCTACCTTGGTTTGTCCTCGAACCGATTGCTTGCGCAGCTATCCGCATTCACCTATGGTCTATTTTCCTTCCTTCGCCCTATGCCGTGGTGTCGAATCTCCTTGGATTGCGTTGAATTCCTCTCGTTATCCAATTGAGCAAACCATGAGTTTCATGGGATTGAGGTTTGGAATCGCTGAGTATGAACCATCCACAGTTATTACAATGTTCCTCTGATGCCATCCAACATGTCTTTGAAAAACTCGGAGTCAGTCAACAGAGAACAAGCACCCGAACAAGCAGAAATGCAGTGGAAACGCTTATGAAAAAGTGAACCACTTGCAATGAGGCATTAATTCTTGAAACATTGTTTGCTGTGTAAATTTTTTGTCATATATGTTATATGTACGAGTTCTTACGGGGATTGGGATAAGGAACAGGAACTCGCGAAGAGCTGCGTGGTAGGCGTGGACGCCTGTTTACAGCAAAGTGAAGAAAGCCCTTTGTGAAACAAGTATATACGAGTCTATGGCGCTGTGTCCCTCAGGGTGATTAACTCCTCCTATATAGCTACAAGAGTGCTACTTTAGACTGAGTAATGGAAAGCAAGTGGTGGGAATGGACACTCGAAGACGTTGTAGCGGGTAAAGGATATGTATCTCATCCGTGATCATACCCATACTATTATTCCTGACGAAACCGTTCCAATAACTTTAAGTTGTCACTGTCTTTTAAACCGCATCACGTTTTCCTTCGAACGCTTTTGCATCGTTTGTGTGTGTGTGTATCAGCATAGTTATCTGCAACGACTGTCTCGCTCTGCCTGGCAACATTCCAACAATATCCTACGACTTCTGTTCAACGCGGTGATATTTACCCGGTTTGTCATCCGCTAACTGTATTAATACATTGATCACACCAGGATGCAGTCGCTTCGCGGAACTCCCATCTTCTTGGGTCTCACTCTCCAAGCCCGATGGCAAACAACACGATAGTTACTTGAGGCCTCTCTATCTCACCGCTTAGTCACAGACAACAGTAGTTCAGGTTGAAGACTTAATTGATTCTCCGAACTGAGCAAGTTGGTTTCAGACGTTCCACCACCAATCAACTTGATATCCAATGCATAATTGCAAATAGCTTGTTAGCAAATCCGAACTGCAGATCTGTCTCGCAGCCTAGTACATTCAAACAAGCTATTTGGTACTACTCACGAGAGATGCCACCTCGATTTGTGTTAAGCGTCTGTATTAGAATTGCTCAGCTTTGAGAAACAATCAGGTCTTCCATCACCAGCTTAAGCCACTGATATTCAAACTTATTAGATCAGGTCTTTGCAAGTGACCCATCACAGACACCTCGTCACCGTTTTCGGCTGTATTGCGTTCACTTGATTTTGATTATATGTGTCACTTGAGCCTTGTGGACTAACAGTCTTCCTAACCGATGTATTAATATAAAAGGTTGTGTTATCGCTCTTACATTTTGGGTACAGACAGATTAACGAATCTGCATTGCTTCGCCGTCAGATTTCACGCTGCTTGAGGGCGCGAATCACATTCCGCTTGACTGGACCCCGATACGCATCTGGTTGAGAAGTACGACTACCGCATATTCTAACACTTGCGGACATCGAATCCTGTTTCACCACATATATGAGTTACCCGCATATGGGGCCTCTGGGTCTCGTGATCAGTTGCGTTTAAGTGTTAGTTATTTGTTTACATTCGGACTCAGTCACCAAAAGTGGAAATACACTGGTTCTCACTGGACCGACTATAAGTTCTGTGCTAGAGTGTCTCGACTTAGCTTGTTCCCTGTTACATTAGATATGACTAACTCAATTTTATTTCATTTACTCAGTTCTGTTTATCCTCCGTATATTCGCCGCTTATTTTGAGCGTTTTTATTTCTTTCATTTTCGGTTAGTCCGTTGATCTTCAATTATACTTAGCCTTTCTCTTAATCACACGCACACTAGATCAGAATTAATGCCCATTTTTGCGTTGCTCAGTCTCGCCGTTTGGCTTCCGTTTTCCATTTCATTTTCCGTGTATACATTCTTTCATATTATGTGTTTGCTGTTCGACAACCCCATTGTGGCTGCGCTCGATCTAAATGTTGACAAGGCGATTGCCTGTCGAAATATCGGTACCTCGATCGTACTGGCTCTAAGAGACAGTTGCTCCTTGTTTGGGCTGACTGGATGCGAAGTACTCGTGAGGGTGCTAGACTCAAATAGTGGTTCCTTGCATCCATTGTGGAATGGACTACGGACCAGTCACCGGATTGTGCACGTCTGGTACGCATGATTTCCCCTTTAGGCATGAATGCTGCCGCTCGGTGGGCCGGCTCCGTTGATGGAACTTAGCTCCCATCCACATGCATCCCGGTCTTATTCCTTCGGGTTTACACTGGATATGGAGTGTGTCGATAATACTCTTGATCCCTCTGTAGGCGCGGGCGTCCTATGGATGCGGCAGTGACAGCCAAAATTTGGAATCGGATGCCGGCAACCATGCATAAGTAACCAAATAACCTCTTATTCCTAACTTTGCGGGGCACCCCGTTAGAGGCATGATCATGGAGGTCTAACAGCGTGCATTGAATGCATCATTGTCCGATTAGAATGTTTAAAATATCGATCAGTTACTGACAGTTGAAAATACGCTGACGGTGGTTAATAGCGGCAAGATTTTTGGTGTGTAGTTCAGTATTTGACAGATGTATCTAGTGAATCTGTTGCAGAACGGTAGAAAAGTGTTCATCTAAGACGTTGCATCCAAGTAGTAGTACGGAATAAGTTTTGAAATGATTTTGCCGATGAGGAGACGGTCCACTGAGAAACTGCAACTTGTGTTCTTGTGTGTGCTACTGCTTTGCAGTAGTTGGACTGCACCTCGAAACACCGAGGAATATACCATTTATTTATTTATTTAAATTAAATCCTGCAATTCGCAGTCTTCACGGCCCCCAGAGGACCGTTTGTACACGTGACTAAGTTGTTTGAACATGGGTATCAAAAGCGGTTAAACCCAATTTCGTATTTAAGCATTCCATAGTTTCTTCAGTGGGAATGGTAATACCTGGTTTCTGAAGCCGAATTATAGATTTGGTTTATTGGATACAACCCATAACTGGCTTAGCAGTCTGTCCATCAGGTAGCGGTGCGATGTTAGGAAAACGCTTTGACTAGGAGTCTATGATGTATTTCTTCTCCCTACGCCCGAATTCTTCCTTAATGTCAATAATCTCCGCCGGAACGTAATGTCCTCTGAGTGATGCAAGTGGCAGTGACTTTACTGCATTGATAGTCATATGCATCCCGCCACAGTCTTGCTAAACAGAGAGAGTTATTATAAGGACGCTTGTCGGCTGAATTACGCCTCATCCTGGACCCATTCCTCGGACTCTTCTCTGGGACAAGCCCACCACAAGGCGGTAGTTAAACAGGCTAACTGTTCAGTGTACCGGTTTAGCACCCTTTTGTCTGCTAATCTCTCTTCAGCTTTTTCCTCCACAGTCGCCTGTCTTCGTCTTCCGTAATGTCTTCCGATTTATGGATTGCATTATAATTACATATTTCGCTTCTCCAAACTATCAACACTGTTGGTACTGATTTTTTAGATTCCATTTACTTTGCGCTTCATCTTATGAGATTTTTATTTCTGTCTTTGCCTATCTGAACCAAACATTGGTTCCGTTCTCTTGTTTGCGCTTGTTTGCAAGCTATCTCGAACAGCTAATCGTTCTCCCCGATACGCTTGCGTTTATCGTTGAATCTACCTAAGCTTCTCGCTTCATCTCTAATTCTTTAGTTTTGCTACCGTCTTCATTATTTTCTGTTTCTACTTCCTTTTCTCAGGTCTGCGACGGTTTCAATGCGGTTTCTGTGGTAAATCCTACGCAAAGAGTTTCCTCCTGAAATCGCACATCAAAAGTGTCCATGAAAGTACGCTTTCCCTATCGCACCAACTCGTGACTGTTGCCAACTATCTTTTGTCTTCTATTTGCATGGGACTCTACCTCCCATTTCTACCGTCATCGTCCTCGTTTACTTCTTTACCACAACTCACGGTAATCGACGTGTGTGAACTAGTCTCAGGCCTCTACCTTTATATTGCTATTTTGATTCCTTTCGACTTCTATTTAGTTCGTGCCTGTCCATAAAATTCAACAGCCTGTTAAGTAGGTTCACTTGTACGAGCCTCCATTTTTGGCATTTTGCATTTGTGCACAAATCGCCTTCGCGATTGTCGCCGTATTAGAGGCTATGTTGTTTCACGGTCTGATAAGCAAACCGGTGATCATATACAGGCTTTTATCCTAACTCAATTTAGCATGTTTTCCGAGAACTCCTCCACCTTATCCATCACGCAAATGGCGTTTGTGTTACCTTTGCATTCGCGTACAATTTTACGTTCAAGTTAATAAGAGCTGTGGACTACAAAGGAACTAACATGTATAAATCTTCTCCTGTATACAACGTTAGGTTATCATCGATGTCACGCCTCTGTTCCATGCGAGTTACCGCATTGATGTTAGACGTAGTGCAATGGTTTGCCTACTTTACGCGATCCACCGAACTATGTTGGATGGTGCTCTCCGCACTCTCAGAACCACATACCATATTGGTCACTGGCTACAGGTCGGGCAGACTCAGTCTCCTGGTTCTGCAGTTTGGAGTGAGGTTGACCTCATACCTTAAACCGGACTCTGTATGACCTAGTGTCATGCTCCCGCTGCATTGCGGGTAGGTTTCTGAACCGAAGGTTTTGGTTGAGAACGCCAATCGTTCTCCTGACTAGGCCTGGGCAACCTGACAGTATCCTGCTCACCCAATATATTGACCTCACAAAACGCCTTAATGTTCTGACCATCGCATAGGATGGTCAACCGCGCCATATCTGCTGCATCAAGCAAGGTGGATAGGAGTTGGGATACTATTGCTCACGCCTTCCAGTCTTGTCTCTCTCATCGTCCCATTCCAACTTTACTTTTATTCCTCCTCTCTTCAATCATCAATTATTGGTCCTCCCACCACCTTGGTTCGACAGTCACCTGCCTTCTAGTCTCGACTCACACGTAATCACTGGGCGTCGTTCCGGTCCAGTCGACAAGTCCATGTCCAACCAAAGGCACAACGTCAGTTCATCCGTTTCTATTTGGAAGCCCGTCGGTCCTCGCTATTACTGGCATGCCACAATATGCGCACTTTGCTGCAAATCGGTCAACAGGCATCAATTGACTGAGGACTAGTTATCCCAGCGATCGTTATCTGTTGCTTGTCGGAAACCTACGTACAAGATTTGAGGTCTGCACTCACTGTGCTATCCTCTACATGTGATCCTTTCTATACTTTCTCACTGCGTCTATTCGGAGATGATGTAGCTTCTCATGCAGGCCAAGCTGGTGTGGGTATTGCTCTGAGTCCCCGGACTGGAGCTGCTCTGGTCGACTGGATCCGAATCAGTAGCCGGATGTGATATGTTTTGAACTTGCGCTGATCCACCAGTCTCGTGTTTCTCATTGCTGCGTGCGACCCGTACGAATTGTAGCGCTCACTCGATGAAGGATGACTTCTATTGTCTATTGAGCGAGCTCTTTTGTCACGGAAGAGGCACGGATATTGTAGTACGTGCTGTTGATGTGAGCGTTCAGGTTGAAAATTTGTCAAATGATGAGCTTCATCTGTGTGGTCAACATGGTGTATGCTTTCGTAATGATGACGGTGAGTACTTGTTACATCTATGTGAAGATGCTGGTGAACTTATGGCGAGCACTAACTTTTGACAGCGTTCGGTGGAGGATGATATATTGCCTACCGGTCCGGAACGACTCATGGGTGCAAAAGTATTATATCTAGTTCAGTGACCGTTGTATAGGCTGCGTTCAAAGCTTCCGCCCGATTTGGGGCACATGCATGGACTCTGACCATGCCCTTGTATGTTGCGATCTGCGGTTTCGCCTTGACGGGGGTCCTTGATCACACTTAGGTCATAGATACTTTCCAACTCTCGAAGCTGGCGGCTTTATATTAGATATCAACTTTCGCTGGGATATGGTTTGAGTAAGCACTTACTGAACGCAGTTAACGATGACTGCTCGCATCTTCACCGAACCTTTTTATCCGCAGGTATGTCTTAATGTAGTAGATTTGCTTGCGAACCTAAATGCTGGGTGACTACGCAGTCTTTGGAGCTTTTTATGCTCGCGGGCAGATTCTGGCCTTAACGAATACGATACGACTCGCGAAGACCCCATGGCAAAACTATGCTAGCCTGAGAATTGACCGTGAGGTCTGATCGCTTCCTTGTAAATTTAATATGGAAGTGGCTGGTGCTCTTGATAACCTTCTGACGCTGGAAACGTGCAGCGGGATGTCTGGTTTTAGCTGGGCTGTTTGCGATGAGAGTGGACAACCCATCCACCGCTTGCCAAAACCCTTGGGGCATTTGCGAAGATTTTCATTTGCCTTTTATCGACCAGCATTTTCGGAGATGCGGTGGCGCTCTTATGCATAATGAAAGCGCTCACTTTCTAGTTACTTTTGTCTAAAGTTTTTCGACTCATTGGTGAGTATAGGAATAACTATTAACTCCTTTTAATACGCTTGTTGACGTTTCATAGAACTACCCTTGGTGTTGTTAGTTTGCAACCTGTGCCAAATGTCTGTTCCCCCATACTCTGTTCTAATGTGGTACAAAGGGTCACTTCTTCGGGTGTGCGGTAGTGCGCACCAAATTGCCAACTATTCAATAGTAGCTGTTGGTCTATTTCAAAATGTCTCACCCGGTCACATGGGTGCAGAACGACCGTATGCGTGCATGTGAGTATTTGTGTACTTGCCACTGTCGTCCATCGTGTAACGCTTGATCAGGCACGGATGGTTGAATTGGAGTCAATCTACGGAATACTACAGGAAAACTTCACCGATCGATACGTACGGTGTCGGGCTGCTTGGAACGGAGACAGGCGTGCAAAGTCGAAACAGCATTGCATCATTACCGGTCTAGTGCGGTAGAATTGTGCTTGCGCTTGGAAGGTGTGACTGGCCTGAGCAGAGTGCGCAGCTAATGGTAAAAGGGTTATTGGCAACGCTTTCGTACACTGAAAGTTACCTTCCAACAACCTACCTTAGGCATTCCTTGCAAATATGAAATGTGACGTTTTGAGAAAGGAATCTTGAAAAGCTATGCTGCCTAAAGGCTACTCGCTGCCGCATAGCCTCTTCTCCCGTTTCAGTATTGATTGCCGTTGCGGGAAACAAGTGTGGTTACGCTGCCCAATTTGTTTCAGGCGGGACCATGAGCGTTCATTCCATCATATTCACTGGTGAGGCAATATTCCGTTAGCACAGAACTGAGAAGCTGCATTTCTAGGCATTATCTAATCCTTGCGGATACTGAGAATCACGTATTGCACAAAGCGCGAAGCTCATTGGCTCGAAATAATGGATGACAAATCGTGGGACCACAGCACACGCATGTGGGTTCTCACACATCCTGTGCAACGCAAGCCCGTCATCGCTGTGATAACATTTCTGACAAATTTTACTGCAAAATCCGAATATCAACTTCAGGAGGATCGATATGCCACACTTTCACGGTCTGTATTCTTACTGAAAAGTTGTTGCACCACCTTTCTTTCTCCTTTGCGTGACCGGTATATTATTATTTGAAAGCACTCATCCCACGCCAGAGTCTGTACGCCGATGAACAGGATACAAATACGAAACCGCGTAGCCTATTCTCACATTACCATCTCGTTCACATCCTCCCCGTAATCCTTAGGCATAATCATGAAAAACAAGTATTAACATTGTGAACCAAGTTGCGTAGATATGGTCAATCTAAGCGCTGTCGAATCAGCTTTGCTCGGTGATTACTTCCTGACCTGACGCATATTTGGCACCATTTGCCCGTGTACCAATGTAGTCCAGTAATCAGTGCTATCGGTGAATACGTATATTAACACAAACAGCATAAAATGGTGATATGTCTGTCAACGACGAAAATGCTCAATGTGCCCGCCGGTGTTCTGCTTGCACTGCGGAAATCCCCTGAGGCAATAGGCTATAATATCTTGCAAAGTTTCCGTGTTGATGGCGCCACATTTGTGGACAATACTGCCTTTAAGTTATTCCAGTGAAATAGGCGTTGTCATGTGAACTCTTCTTTTCGACTAACCCCATTGGAAGGAATCTAAGGAGCTTTGATTTGGTGACCAACCCTTTGGACCTCTGCGACCGATCCACCGGTGACCGAACACCTCTTTAAGATAATGCCGCACCGTTGGTGCATAAAGGGCAGATGTGCTATATTGAACCTATAATGGCGGAAGCAAAGTTGCCGACGAGAATCGGTGGTGAAAACATCTCTATCTTTTAGGTCCTACGTAATTTGCCAGCGGCAGTTCCCTTACCATTGGGGAACCATAATAGACAGACAAATGGAGGTAATCATAATTGCACTACTTGGCAAACACGAGGTTAACGTCATATGGACAACGAAAGTACGTGACCCTGACTTGCAAGAAGCGCATAACGCCGCTTACTGTGCTATGTTTCGTCCACCGCCGTCTACAGTAAACATCAACTGCGACGCCTACATCCTGTCGGACATTTGAGCGATCGGGCCTTTCTCACGTACCCTTCTTGTTCTATTTTCTTGCAGCGTTCATACAACCCTGACGAAGTATTCGCACCGTTACCATTTGCAACAATGTGCTAGTGAATTCAATCGTTATACATTACACATATATTTAAATGAATTATCTTTTAAAAGCATTAAAATCAACGACGTAGATGTTCGAAATGACCACAGTCATTTTGCTTGCAGAGCAGTATTCGCCCGAACCTATGGGCTAGCACTTTCTACAAAGTGTCCACTGACATCCCGCGACATTCGTTGACGATGCTCCGTTTCACTTTTTTCGGCCTACAACTGCAGCATGACATAGGTCCGCAACATTTCTTCGTAGGTGGATGCTGACAAATGTGAAGCGTTAGTTCCGTTAATAATTCAACTTAGCCGTCATAAAAGTCAACGAAGTAGATGTTCAAAATGATCGCCGTCGTTTTTTTACGGAGCATTATTCGCCGGATGCAAACACGTGCTTCTGACTTGCTCCGAATCGTCTAGATGTCTTAGCTCACTGCTATATTTCTGCGGCCTACTTTGTCATACCTCATGCCAAACGACCCGTCTTCTTGCCACCCAAACTGTTCGTATTTTTATTTTTCAGATATTCGTGACGTGACTTGCACTATATGCCAAAAGGCGTTTTCTAAGCGGTCTGTTATGCGGCGTCACATGAAATCAGTGCATGCAGGTGAGTATAGGATAGCTTCTTTATTCATAATAATTCAGTCACCCTCCCTGCTGCTTACCTCCCACTGCATTGCTGCGTTCTTTATCACTTTTAGTGCAACTCTGAAACGAGGGTGTTGTTCGCTTGTTTGCGATAATTGGCCCATTTTTCGTTTGTTTTTCGCTGCTGCTTACCTCATCATATCAATAGATGACGGCCAGCGATTGTGGACTAGCTCTGTTTATGAAGCCTGGCTACCATCCGCATGCCTTCCGGTCTTTTTTCTTCGGGTTTACCCTATGTATGGGGTATGTGGTTAAAACTGTGGGTGGTGCAGGGCAAGCCACTCTTTAAGCGAAATTGTTATGTGGCTGTCCTATGGAGGCCGCAGTGACAGGCAGCTCCAGACATAGATGCCGCGAACCATGTATGTATATGGTTGGCGGCATCCGGTTTCTGAATTGTTTCTCACTGCTGCCCCTATAGGACAGCCACAGAACGCCTACGCCTCCTCAGGGACCATGGGTGTCTTGAACTGCACTGCCCACAACCACAATATGCAGTGTATACCCGGAGGAATAAGAGGCATGTAGGCTGGAGCTCACATTCATTCACCATGCACAGCACCAGCATTCCTGTCTATCTAACTTGGAAATCACGCGTCCAGACATACAGACGGTGGTGGCTAGGCCGAAGTCCGCCCCACACTGGATACATGGAACTAATTTTTGAACCTAACACCCTTAGGAGGACAGTGCACCCCGTCCCCCAGCAACGAATAACAGTCTACTGGAGCCAGTATAGACGAGTTTAAGGGTCTTAGACAGGTAGGCACGTTGTCAACATTCACATTAAGGGCAACCACATCAAGGATATGAAGCAACCTACATAGAATGTGCAAAAATATAAACAAGCAAATTGGCACGCAATATGCAGCAGAATAGCAGAACTGAGCAAATCAAGTGAACCATAATGCTTTTTATTCTGATTAAGTTGATGTGTCGCTGGTCAGAGCATTTCGCTCTTCAGTTCAACCACCCAACACAGTCCCCTGCGACACCTCCAGCCCCAATGTATGATGCTTGGCCTGTCTCCACAGCCCCCCCCCCAAATGAAGCAGAGATTCGAAATGTAGTCCAATCTTTGAAACGCCACAAAGCTTCGGGTCCCGACAACCTACCACCAGCTCTATTCAAAGATGGTGGGAGTGTACTTATCAGCGAAATCCTATCGCTGTTCACGAAAGTTTGGACTGAGGAGAAGGTTCCGAGCTCATGGGGAGAATCGGTCATTGTCCCAATTCACAAGAAGGGTTCCCGCGCCGATTGCTGCAACTACCGCGGAATCTCCCTAATCTCTGTCGCATCCAAAATCTTCGTGTCGGTCCTACTTGGCAGGCTTTCAACGACTAGAGAGGAGTTTTCCCGAGAAGAACAAGCTGGATTTCGTCCAGGCCGTGGCTGCATCGACCAAATCTTCACGCTTCGGCAGGTTCTCGAACTTCGTCACATCCACCGGCGGCCAACAATCGTAGTGTTTTTGGACATCCGAGCGGCATTTGATTCAGTAGATAGGTCTGCGTTGTGGAACTGTTTACTGAAGAAAGGTGTGCCCGACAAGTTTGTAACCATCCTGAAAGTACCTTACAGTCACACGTCGGGCAAAGTTAGGGCTTACGGCCCGCACTCCTCTTCATTCGCTGTGACCAGCGGTGTTCGCCAAGGTTGCCCTATTTCACCTTTCCTCTTCAATTTCGCCATCGAAGATGTTCTCCAAAGAGCACTGGAAGGTGTCCAGGACTGCGGTGTTGAGCTTCTCCCTGGAGACAGACTCACGGACTTGGACTATGCCGATGATATCGCCTTGCTGGGGGACGACCCACAATCCGTCCAGAACGCTCTGGACCGCTTGGCGATGGAGGCGTCTAAGTACGGCCTGTGCTTCACTCCGGGAAAATGTAAAACGCTGCTCCAGGATTGGCAGGTGCCTGAACCCGCGCTCACCATTGCTGGACATGTTCTGGAGCAAGTCCCTTGCTTCACTTACCTAGGGAGTTGCGTCACGGCTGGTGGCGGTGTTGGAGATGAAGTCTCACAACGGATTGCAAAGGCCCGCCTTGCATTCATCAAACTGAGACATCTATGGCGTCGTCGTGATGTCACTCTCAAGCTCAAGGGCAGGGTGTACAATGCTTCCGTCCGTGCAGTACTCTTGTACGGCTGTGAGACTTGGCCTATTCGCTCGGAAGATATGAAGCGGCTATCAGTCTTTGATAATCGCTGTCTACGAAGGATTGCTAGGGTGTGGTGGCAACACCACGTAAGCAACGCAGAGGTGAGAGACCGCGTGCTTGGGGCGAATAGTGCCAGTCTTCAAGACGTTATTCTCCGACATCGCATGCGCTGGCTCGGGCATGTTCTGCGCATGCCAGCCCATCGCCTTCCACGTCGAGCGCTATTTGCACTCCCAGGGAGCGATTGGAAAAGGTGCCGCGGTGGACAGCCGATGACGTGGAGAAGGAGTATGAAGAAGGCGACCTCAAGTTTGGCAGCAGTCGGACCAGTCCGCCTTCCAGGTTGGGGACCACGAGATGCTGAATTGCAGTGGTTGGAAACATTGGACGTCATGGCTCGCAACAGACATCAGTGGCGGCAATGTTGTTCCGCAATTTCACCATCCCTTTGATACACACAAAACTCACAAAACAAAACAAAAATTACAAAATGGCTGTGTAAAACCAAAAAAAATTCGTTTCCCATATTTTTAATCGCATTAGCGTCCCCATCTACTTCACCTTTTTCTTCTGCCATGGTTCTGATGGCACAATGTCTGTTAACAGACTGTGAATAAATATATATATATATATATATAGTGCAATATCAACATAAAGCGTGTATATATATATATATGTATGTATCGAGTAACACATCGTCTCATGCCATCCAAGTCGATTGTTTTACCTTGTTTATTACTGTGGGTTACGGCTGTGCATCTTCATGACGTCCATTTGATCCGGGTTTTTGGTTCTTTTGCCATTTTCTGCGCACTCTGGTGTTTCTCTTGCCTCGGTCCATTTTTAACTCATTTTCTCGCCTGTGTCTACTATTTTCCCAGTTCCGCACTCGCTGCTTGCCTAACGTGCGCTAACTCCGCTTGAACGAACTGTTCCAGGAGTTTTGCACTGTCCCAATTTCACTGCTGTGGTAGAGTTTATGTGGATCGTTTTTGATGATCCTTTATTCTGTCGAGCAATGAAGCTACCATGTTACTATTCTAGCTTGGGGACAAGTATCCGGTGCGTTGAACGCCAATGTACTGTCGAGCTTATTCTCAACATTTACTTACCCCCTTCTGAAGAGTCATTTTTCTGCTCCTCTGTGTCGTCTTTGCATAGGCCTTTCTCAAAATTAAGCATCTTATCTTTCAACCATACGTCCATTCTGTCATTATAACTGAAGTCAGAACCACTGTTTCAGTCCCACTGCCCACAATCTTCGGCTCACTGAACTTAGCTCTACGGTTTCGTAACTACTTACCGTCCCTTCATAGTAGTATCCGTCGCTTCAGACGTTTTCTAGCACTCACGGCTTAACAAGAATTTTCCTCCAAATATTTACTGTTTGTACGATACTGATTTACTATATTCCTTCACACAGGAGGCTTTGATATTTGTTTGTCAATTGTGCCACTTAGACTATGTGTACATAAAATTTGAATTAGCTTTTTATGCACATGTACATAGTTGCACATTGTGTACAAAGGGCATATATAATGCTGCTTTGTTTCTCTTCGAACACACATGCGCTTTCGTACAGAGTTGACTGCTATAAAACCGCGGATTGATTTATCTGATCAAGGCTAACAGTTGATCTGGCCAAGCTTAAGTCGTGGAAGGGTACGTTTAGTTGTTAATCGCTACTCCTTTTAATTGAGGTAGACCATGGTCGAAGACGATCTTTTACTCAATATTGGTCCAATTGTTTAGGCTGGTCATTCGGCAACTCGTGTGGCGTCTAGCAGATGGCGCAGAGCGCCTCTGTCACATTACTTTGCTGTTCAGATCCGCAAAGTGTAACAGCACGTATTCTTCACTGTCTTCCTCACATCGCTGCACGACCAAACTGGTTGTGTTATATGGTTATTTGACAGAGTGATAAACGGTGCGTTTTGCAGTACGCCTAGTTGAACACGAATAAGAGAAATTGTGGACACGGGAAACGTCCACCACTTCACGCTACCCTTGAACTGTTTGCTCACAGCTGTTGTCGTCATCGTTTTGTTGTTGTTGCGCACGTATTCCGTTACCTGATGTAGTGTCTTCGGATACTCGTCATGTATTTTAACTTGCGACGCACGATCTCAATTGTGGCCTCCGTTGACTTTGAAGGCAGTCTACCATTCCGATCAGTGGGAGTCAAACTCGGCACGTAGTGGTTGGCGGCTATCCGCGTGATCACTAAGCCATTGAGCTCCGTTACTCTGTCGCACAGTACACTCTCGCACCGATAGCACAATGCTCTACAATAGTCGATTCTGCCACTGGGTCCTCTAAAGTAACAATAAGAAGTTTAGCTGCTCTTCTGTGGAAACAAACCTGACCGTTGATGCTCCACGTGCACTTCCTATAAAACGGCTTATAAAAAGCTTATCTTCCGCACATATCCTTCCCGTCCTTTTCGCTAGACGATGGACGAGGTTTCATTTCCGGCCTGCTGGTAGGATGTTTATGAAATAATAACACAGTTTGCTCCAAATTGCTTTCCTTTAAACTCTCTTCTGCATTTGTTTTCCTTTATTCGGACAATTTAAAACACTGCAGGGCCGTTATCTTTCAGTACATTAGTAAGCGTTGTTTTCATGTATAGCGTTGGAGTGAGTTAACAAATTCTCTTTGCACACTTGACTCTACGGAAAGAAGAACAATATGGCATCAGCAGTACGCTGGAACGCAGTACCAACACTTCGCTGCCGCACAACCACCACCAGTCGCTCATGGGCTAAGGATACTACAAAGGCCGTCT